TCTATTAGGAGATCGCCCAATCCCAATGGCTTAACGGATTTCACATCCCCTGCGATTCCCTGGATGCCCTTCCTCAACAGAAGTGGCGACAACGCGGCCATCGTTGCGGTTTTTGGTATGTCCGTCGTTTTGGTGGTTTTTATCTTTACCCATGTGTATTTTTGTTTGTTTCACGATCTATGCCTCCACCCGCCACGGAGCCAAACAAGGGGACACTGGTGTGACGCGGATATCCAGCGCCAAGTGTCGGAGATACATAGAATAGTATACTCGTAAGAATATACACACTATTTGAAAGAGTATACTCTCGCGATTGACCCTAAGCCACCGCCTTCTTGGGAGGATGTAAACCAAGGGCTCGGCGTTACCAGCCGATTGGTGATAGAGGGCCCATATCACCTCTCGTCTACCCAGAGTCCGAAGCCAAAGCAGTATGTTGCAGAATGTCGGATCATGTCTCCTTCCTATTAAGAGTTTGACAGTGATTCCGACTCTGCTCAACTACCAGGATCTTTTTCCCCCAGGAATACGAGATGCAACCCACGGCAAACAGGTTGGCTCAAATTGGAGCTACTGTGAAAGCCTTCTGCTACGATGACGCCCAGCGCGCCACAATCATACCCCCGAAATGATCACATACGCACTGAGCACCAGCGTACCCAGCCTCGGGACGTGGACCCAGCTTTCTTGGAGGCCACAATGGTGTATAGTATGTCTATGTATTGACAATGGTGTATGATACATGACCATGTATTGACAATGGTGTATACTATGTCTATGTATTGACAATGGAGTATGGTATGCCTATGTATTGACAATGGCGTCTACTATGTCCATGTATTGACAATGGTGTATACTATGTCCATGTATTGACAATGGTGTATGGTATTGCCATGTATTGACAATGGTGTATAGTACGTCCATGTGTTGACAATGGTGTATAGTATGTCCATGTATTGTCAATGGTGTATGGTATATCCATGTATTGACAATGGTGTATAGTACGTCCATGTGTTGACAATGGTGTATAGTATGTCCATGTATTGACAATGGTGTATGGTATATCCATGTATTGACAATGGTGTATTGTATGTCTATGTATTGACAATGGTGTATGGTATGTGCATGTATTGACAATGGTGTATAGTATGTCGATGGTGTATACGTTACCTTGTTGTTGATAATGTGGTATAGTTTGGTGATGTTTGTTGACACTGTTGTATCTTAACTGTGTTCGTAGACAGTGTGGCATAGTTTGGTCATGTGTGTTTACTGTAAATTAACTCTATTTGTTGACACTGTGACATTGTTTGGTAATTTGTGTTGACGCCATGGTATATTCATCCCTTTTTGTTGACACCATGACATAGTTTGGTCATGTGTGTTGACACCGTTGTATATTAACTATGTTTGTTGACATTGTGACATTGTTTGGTAATTTTTGTTGACGCCATTGTATATTCAACCCTGTTTGTTGACACTATGACATAGTCTGGTCATGTGTGTTGACAGCGTTGTATATTAACCTTTTTTGCTGACACTGTGGCATTTTCGGTCATGTGTGTTGACGCCGTTGTATATTAACTCTGTTTGTTGACACTGTGACATAGTTTGGTCATATGTGTTGACATCGTTGTATATTAACCTTTTTTGTTGACACTGTGACAAAGTTTGGTCATGTGTGTTGACGCCGTTGTATATTCAACCCTGTTTGATTATACTGCAAGATATTTTGCCAGATATAATCTTTGTCATATAGAACAGTGATATCCCCAATATTTATTTACGACAGAATATGTGTGTTGCCCATGTTTGACACATACTGTAGTATATGTGTGCTCCCCATGTTTGACACATACTGTAGTATATGTGTGCTCCCCATGTTGGACACAAAACAATTGATTTTCATTACTAAAGTGCAGTACCAAGGAACAGAACACCGTGTTCCATCACTCTAGATGACGTGCACAGTTCTGTGTGGTAGAATAATCGATGGTTAAATGATGGTTTTGCGTGACACACATGCTAATAAGTCTGGAACAAAGTTGGTATTATACTCATTTTATTAGTGCACTGAAAGGCTGACAGAGTTGTCTATAATTGGTATTATACTCATTTTATTATTGTACTGAAAGACTGACAGAGTTGTCTATAATTGGTATTATACTCATTTTATTAGTGTACTAAAAGACTGACAGAGTTATCTATAATTGGTATTATACTCATTTTATTATTGTACTGAAAGACTGACAGAGTTGTCTATAATTGGTATTATACTCATTTTATTAGTGCACTGAAAGGCTGACAGAGTTGTCTATAATTGGTAGTATACTCATTTTATTAGTGCACTGAACGGCTGACAGAGTTGTATATAATTGGTATTATACTCATTTTATTATTGTACTGAAAGGCTGACAGAGTTGTCTATAATTGGTATTATACTCATTTTATTATTGTGCTGAAAGACTGACAGAGTTGTCTTTAATTGGTATTATACTCATTTTATAAGTGTACTGAAAGACTGACAGAGTTATCTATAATTGGTATTATACTCATTTTATTATTGTGCTGAAAGACTGACAGAGTTGTCTTTAATTGGTATTATACTCATTTTATAAGTGTACTAAAAGACTGACAGAGTTATCTATAATTGATATTATATTCATTTTATTATTGTACTGAAAGACTGACAGAGTTGTCTATAATTGGCATTATACTCATTTTATTATTGTACTGAAAGACTTACAGAGTTGTCTATAATTGGTATTATACTCATTTTATTATTGTACTAAAAGACTGACAGAGTTGTCTATACTTGGCATTATACTCATTTTATAAGTGTACTGAAAGGCTGACAGAGTTGTCTATAATTGGTAGTATAATCATTTTATTAGTGCACTGAAAGGCTGACAGAGTTGTCTATAATTGGTATTATACTCATTTTATAAGTGTACTGAAAGACTGACAGAGTTATCTATAATTGGTAATAAACTCTTTTTATTATTGTACTGAAAGGCTGACAGAGTTGTCTATAATTGGTATTATACTCATTTTATAAGTGTACTGAAAGACTGACAGAGTTATCTATAATTGGTATTATACTCATTTTATTATTGTGCTGAAAGACTGACAGAGTTGTCTTTAATTGGTATTATACTCATTTTATAAGTGTACTGAAAGACTGACAGAGTTATCTATAATTGGTAATAAACTCTTTTTATTATTGTGCTGAAAGGCTGACAGAGTTGTCTATAATTGGTATTATACTCATTTTTTAAGTGCACTGAAAGGCTGACAGAATTGTCCATAATTGGTATTATACTCATTTTATAAGTGTACTGAAAGACTGACAGAGTTGTCTATAATTGGTATTATACTCATTTTTTAAGTGCACTGAAAGGCTGACAGAGTTGTCTATAATTGGTAAAATACTCAGTTTGCTGGTCAGACATTAACTGGAGCCCTGCACAAACCGACAGTCTGCTGGTCAGACATGTACTGGAGCCCAGTACAAACCGACAGTCTGCTGGTCATACATTAACTGGAGCCCAGTACAAACCGACAGTCTGCTGGTCAGACATGAACTGGAGCCCAGTACAAACCAACAGTCTGCTGGTCAGACATGAACTGGAGCCCTGCACAAACCAACAGTGTGCTGGTCAGACATGTACTGGAGACCAGTACAAACCGACAGTCTGATGGTCAGACATGTACTGGAGCCCAGTACAAACCGACAGACTGCTGGTCAGACATGAACTGGAGCCCAGTACAAACCGACAGTCTGATGGTCAGACATGAACTGGAGCCCAGTACAAACCGACAGTCTGCTGGTCGGACACGTACTGGAACCCAGTACAAACCGACAGTCTGCTGGTCAGACACGTACTGGAACCCAGTACAAACCGACAGTCTGCTGGTCAGACATGTACTTGAGCCCAGTACAAACCAACAGTGTGCTGGTCAGACACGTACTGGAATCCAGTACAAACCGACAGTCTGCTAGTCAGACAATAACTGGAACCAACAGTGTGCTGGTAAGACACGTGCTGGAGCCCTGCACAAACCAACAGTCTGCTGGTCAGACATGAACTAGAGCCCAGTACAAACCGACATTCTGATGGTCAGACATGAACTGGAGCCCAGTACAAACCGACAGTCTGCTGGTCAGACATGAACTGGAGCCCAGTACAAACCGACAGTCTGCTGGTCAGACATGAACTGGAGCCCAGTACAAACGGACAGTTTGCTGGTCAGACATGTACTGGAGCCCAGTACAAACCGACAGTCTGCTGGTCAAACATATACTTACTTGAGCCCAGCACAAACCGACAGTCTGCTGGTCAGACATGAATTGGAGCCCAGTATAAACAGACAGTCTGCTGGTCAGACATGAATTGGAGCCCTGCACAAACCAACAGTGTGCTAGTCAGACATTTACGTGAGCCCAGCACAAACCGACAGTCTGCTGGCCAGACATGAACTGGAGCCCAGTACAAACCGACAGTCTGCTGGTCAAACATGTACTTGAGCCCAGCACAAACCGACAGTCTGCTGGCCAGACATGAACTGGAACACAGTACAAACCGACAGTCTGCTGGTCAGACATGAACTGGAGCCCAGTATAAATTGACTATATGTGCTCCCACTTTTCCCTACTGAGACCATTCCAGACTGGGTTAAACAACCCAAGACATGCGACATTATCAGATGTAATTGAGAATCAAAAATAGTCTAATAACAACTCCAATATCCATATTTATCTTTCGTGTTTGAAAATCATAAATAAATTTGCGGTATTCAATCACTATCTAAAAATACGGCAAGCTTATTCTCTTATTTCATCGTATCTCGTTTGTAAATAATGATCCAGTTACGTTTGAAGAGGATAATGTTAACGATTATTATTGATTCAGGGGGAAAGCATTTCCGCCAGTACGTCACATGCCTCTAAACAACAATCAGATATACATGTGACAGTGTTTTGTGGTGTCATTCTAAAGGCCCTGAGGTCGTAAAGGTCGGAGGTAATCATATTACGCCCACGGGATCATGTAACCGGAGTGACGTCAATCATGTATTGATCAGCTGACCACTTGGACCTAAGACTTGTATGCCTAAACGTACATGAAATAAAAGTTAGTGGCATTCAACATTGTGAGTGGAACAATTGTATTTCAAATGGCAACTATAGTCGGTGCGCCAACTCGAACATTAATTACATTCAAGTATTGTGATACAGATCAGGTGTGATTTAGGTTAAAGGTCACAGAAATGGTAATTTTACTGTACGAATGACCATTCGTTTGACCAATATAATACCATGATATTACTCAGTACTGCAGTGATGACGTCATCAACTCCTGTATTTCATTATCCAACTTGATTTTTTAAGTTCGCCTATCAAATTGTTTTTTGTATATAGACATTAACTTCTGTGTATAGACATTAACTTAATTCCACTTCTAACTATTGCAATTACAAAGGTATTATATCGTAATGTAATCAGCATTTAGTCATCAGGAGTACTGTATTGTGTTCATTATAATCATAAGCATATACTATTTCGATGAAAAAGGGTGTCAAATAAAACAATGAAATAGAGTGTCAAATAAAACAATGGAATAGGGTGTCAAATAAAACAATGGAATAGGGTGTCAAATAAAACAATGGAATAGGGTGTCAAATAAAACAATGGAATAGGGTGTCAAGTAAAACAATGAAATAGGGTGTCAAATAAAACAATGAAATAGGGTGCCAAATAAAACAATGGAATAGGGCGTCAAATACAACAATGGAATAGGGTGTCAAATAAAACAATGAAATAGGGTGCCAAATAAAACAATGGAATAGGGCGTCAAATAAAACAATGAAATAGGGTGTCAAATACAACAATGTAATACGGTGCCAAATAAAACAATGGAATAGGGTGTCAAGTAAAACAGTGAAATAGGGTGTCAAATAAATCAATGGAATAGGGTGTCAAATACAACAATGGAATAGGGTGTCAAATAAAACAATGAAATAGGGTGTCAAATACAACAATGTAATAGGGTGCCAAATAAAACAATGTAATAGGGTGTCAAGTAAAACAATGAAATAGGGTGTCAAATACAACAATTGAATAGGGTGTCAAATAAAACAATTGAATAGGGTGTCAAATAAAACAATGGAATAGGGTGTCAATTAAAAACCAATGAAATAGGGTGTCAAATAAAACAATGGAATAGGGCGTCAAATACAACAATGGAATAGGGTGTCAAATAAAACAATGGAATAGGGTGTCAATTAAAAACCAATGAAATAGGGTGTCAAATAAAACAATGGAATAGGGTGTCTAATAAAACAATGGAATAGGGTGTCAAATAAAACAATGGAATAGGGTGTCTAATAAAACAATGGAATAGGGTGTCAAATAAAACAATGAAATAGGGTGTCAAATACAACAATTGAATAGGGAGTCATATAAAACAATGAAATAGGGTGTCAAATAAAACAATGGAATAGGGTGTCAAATAAAACAATGGAATAGGATGTCAAATAAAACAATGGAATAGGGTGTCAAATAAAACAATGAAATAGGGTGTCAAATACAACAATGAAATAGGGTGTCAAATAAAACAATAAAATAGGGTGTCAAATAAAACAATGGAATAGGGTGTCAAATAAATCAATGGAATAGGGTGTCAAATTCAACAATAGAATAGGGTGTCAAATAAAACAATGAAATAGGGTGTCAAATACAACAATGTAATAGGGTGCCAAATAAAACAATGGAATAGGATGTCAAATAAAACAATGGAATAGGGTGCCAAATAAAACAATGGAATAGGGTGTCAAATAAAACAATGGAATAGGATGTCAAATAAAACAATGGAATAGGGTGCCAAATAAAACAATGGAATAGGGTGTTAAATAAAACAATGGAATAGGGTGCCAAATAAAACAATGGAATAAGGTGTCAAATAAAACAATGAAATAACGTGTCAAGTAAAACAATGAAATAGGGTGTCAAATAAAACAATGAAATAGGGTGTCAAATACAACAATTAAATAGTGTGTCAAATAAAACAATGGAATACGGTGTCAAATAAAACAATGGAATAGGGTGTCAAATAAAACAATGGAATATGGTGTCAAATAAAACAATAAAATAGGGTGTCAAATAAAACAAGGAAAAAGGGTGTCAAATAAAACAATGGAATTGGGTGTAAAATGAATAAAATGGAAAGATGTAGTAAATATACATGGATGAAACATACACACGACCATTAGAATCAAGCACCCCTATTGATAAAATGATTAGGAAAATAAACGAAGATGCTATCAATAAACATATATTGATACTTTTAAACACTGTATATCATTAAAAAGATAATTGAATATAGATAGTGTACTTATGGTACACAGATAAAACTTGATGGCATAACAAGGTACGTACGTCCATGTTCTGTATAGTAAATGCCAAACTGAATCTGTTTCAGATATCACAGATATATCCACGACAAATCCCGCTGGCACCATCTCCGTATAGCGTGGTCAGCAGAGAATCTGCCCTGGGTACCCCTTGTGGGATTGGCAATCAATGGAAATGAATAACCTGGAGGGACAGAAGGGCAAAAAATTATATACGGAAGAACAGTATGTATAACCCTTAGTCACAGCCAATTAACTCGAGCTTTTCATCTACTGGTGCTTTATACAATATTTTGCATACAAGTGTTACACAACGAAAATATCAGGCAACCCATTGCCTCCCTCTCTTGGTGTAACATATAAACATCATCATACAAGTGTAACACAACAGAAGTGTAACGTAACCCATTGTCTCCCCCTCTTGGTGTAACATATAAACATCATCATACAAGTGTAACACAACAGAAGTGTAACGTACCCCATTGTCTCCCTCTCTTGGTGTAACATATAAACATCATCATACATGTGTAACACAACATGAGTGTAACGTAACCCATTGTCTCCCTCTCTTGGTGTAACATATAAACATCATCATACATGTGTAACACAACAGAAGTGTAACGTAACCCATTGTCTCCCTCTCTTGGTGTAACATATAAACATCATCATACATGTGTAACACAACAGAAGTGTAACGTAACCCATTGTCTCCCTCTCTTGGTGTAACATATAAACATCATCATACATGTGTAACACAACAGAAGTGTAACGTAACCCATTGTCTCCCTCTCTTGGTGTAACATATAAACATCATCATACATGTGTAACACAACAGAAGTGTAACGTAACCCATTGTCTCCCTCTCTTGGTGTAACATATAAACATCATCATACATGTGTAACACAACAGAAGTGTAACGTAACCCATTGTCTCCCTCTCTTGGTGTAACATATAAACATCATCATACATGTGTAACACAACAGAAGTGTAACGTAACCCATTGTCTCCCTCTCTTGGTGTAACATATAAACATCATCATACATGTGTAACACAACAGAAGTGTAACGTAACCCATTGTCTCCCTCTCTTGGTGTAACATATAAACATCATCATACATGTGTAACACAACAGAAGTGTAACGTAACCCATTGTCTCCCTCTCTTGGTGTAACATATAAACATCATCATACATGTGTAACACAACAGAAGTGTAACGTAACCCATTGTCTCCCTCTCTTGGTGTAACATATAAACATCATCATACATGTGTAACACAACAGAAGTGTAACGTAACCCATTGTCTCCCTCTCTTNAAGTGTAACGTAACCAAGTGTATCCCTCTCTTGGTGTAACATATAAACATCATCATACACGTGTAACACAACAAAAGTGTAACGTAACCAAGTGTATCCCTCTCTTGGTGTAACATATAAACATCATCATACACGTGTAACACAACAGAAGTGTAACGTAACCAAGTTTATCCCTCTCTTGGGTAAAACAGTAATAAAATATAACTATATAGCAAGTTCATAGCACATAACCAATATTAGCCTGGACTATTTCCGTCACATACGCGGTGCCTCCTATACGAGCAGCTCGAGGACTATGAGCGCTGTTAACATGTATAATTGATATGGATTCCAGACACAGGCTACCTATTGTTTTCCCTGTAACAGACCATAACAGGAATGTAGTCTCCATGATTTGGCCGCAGTGTATAATGTTGGCGTGGAGTGACGGCAAGCCGATAGAGTACCGAGTTTCTTATGAATGATTTACAATACGAAGCATTATCTCAGCACAAAGGCTAGGATGACATTTATTCAAAACTAAATCAAAATGTTCAGGGATAAGGTGGCATGCATGTGTTTATTGATTACTGGAAGGTCTTTATTTCTGTTTGGATCTAATTATCACAATATTCACAACAACTTTTCCGCGGGAAAGAAATACAGCGAAATTTAACAGAAACGTTTTACGACTGGCCCCACCAAGATACAGTCATACAATAAACGATAGAGAACAAGTAGAGACCACAGATACACGTTGGTAGATTTAATACAGATCACAACAGCATACCTACATACTCGGTCGTTATTGTCGGTTTAGTTAAAACTCACGGCACAATAACAGATCGCCTATGAAACAAGAGGTGCAATGGGCCTGCATCGCTCACCAGGTATAATTCGCACACTTGTAACCTTAAAAGTTGTCTAAAACAAATCTACAGGCAAAATAACAGTATTCATGATAATAAGTCATTCAAAAGAACCTGTGAAGGATTTAAACACATTTGACCCATGTGACCTTGAACGTTGATCAAGGTCATTAAGTTGAACAAACTTTAGAGCCCTTCATCTCAGCATGCAACTTAACAACGATCACTACCCACCTTTTGTTTATTGAGAGTTGTTTTAAGAACATTGACCTCTGTGACCTCTTTATATCAACATCATCGGCCTTTTGGTTTTGCAGAGGAAGTCGTTGAAAGGTTTTTGTCATATTTGACCCAGGTGACCTTGAATATAGGTCAATATAATTCATTTGAACAAACTTGGTAGCCCTTCATCCCATCATGTTACTCGCCAAATATTCAGAAGAAATCGTTTAAATGTTTCAAACATTTTTGACCCTGTAACCTTGAATATAGGTCAATATAATTCATTTGAACAAACTTGGTAGCCCTTCATCCCATCATGTTACTCGCCAAATGTTCAGAAGAAATCGTTTAAATGTTTCAAACATGTTTGACCCTGTAACCTTGAATATAAGTCAATGTCATTCATTTGAACAAATTTGGTAGCCCCGCAGCACATCATGATGACTGCTAAATATGAACATTTTTGGCCTTTTATATATACTAGCGGAAAAAAGAAAATGTGCATGCCTAAAATGTGTTATAAAAATAAATGTGTATGACGTAGAACAACAAGGTTTTCAGGGACAATTTATTTGTTATTTATTAAAAGGTGCATTCCATTTTCCACGTTATGGAACCGATAAGTTCCGCTCAGGAGTGACGTAATCACAGCAGGAGTCAATACTGAGTTCACAAAGTTAATACCTCGTTTGTCCACCGTTTGCCTGAATGCAAGCCTGGCAACGTCGACGCATGGAGCATATCAGACGGCTCAAGAATGCTTGTGGGATGGCATTCTAGATCTGTACCAACGCTACAGTCAAATCAGCCAACGTCACCGGTTGATTAGGTAATGCCCGTAATCTGCGCTTCATTTCATCCCAGACGTGTTCAATGGGCGACAGATTGGGGGATACAGCAGGCCAGGGCAACACGTCAACGTTCTGCTGGACCAGTAAGTCCATAGCGACACGAGCTATGTGTGGCCTGGCGTTGTCCTGCTGTAGCGTAATGTGACGTTGCTGCCCACGGTAACGTAGCGCGTTCAAATTCCCGTTAACAACCACCAGAGGCGTTCTACCGTTGGCTGTGATGCCGCCCAAAATCATAGCGACTCGTCCGTAAATCCCGTCAATTAAATCGCAGATGTCTTCTGCACCAGTCCAGACGTGCTACACGATGACGTGGCAGAATAACTGGGCGGATTGCAGGACGTCGCAGACGGATATCTCGTTCAAGCAATCGGTTCCGTACAGTTCTCAGGCTTATTGGTAGCAACCCAGGGATTGTCCGTGCAGTCAACCTTGCCGTTTCGAAGCGATTTCTCAAATGGCCAAGCCAAATATGTTTGTCCTGTTGACGTGACGTCACACGTGGACGTCCCGCACGAGGTCGAACGCCGACGTGGCCAAACTGTTGATGTCGTCTCCACAAATCCCGGATTGCGTTTCGATGGACATGAAAACGTGTAGAGACAACGGCCGGTCCATACCAGCTTGAAGCATACCAATAATCCGGAGGCGGTCATTTTCATTGAGCCTCGGCTTAGCATTAATCACAAATTAAAACGTTATAATGCTGTTTTTACTGTTCACTGGTCAAACAGTTGAAAAATAAACTTTCATTGTCGAATTGGATGACTGGAAGAGAAAAACGTGCAAACTTGTCAACGTCTATAGAGAGCAAACTGCAAGGGAAAAACTGTCAATGACACACGGATAGTGTGTTTGTGTCATACTCGGTCATTTGTGTGAATATTCATGTATAACAATTCTCCACATGCACAGTTTCTTTTTTCCGTTAGTATAGATAAAGTCTAAAATATACTGAAGATTAAATCGTGAATTCCTGAGTTATAATTTCTTCGATAGATAAGGACGGACAAATTTTGCTCTATCTTGGCCGACTTGTTGCTATTAATACAAGGCTTAGTTTATCGAAGAACTTATTAGGAGGGGTAAAAATGTATTCCCTTGTACGTTATAGACAGTATCTGAAGTTCAAATATTTCATTTGTTAGAATTATGCCCTGGTTTCATCGATATTTTTATTTGTATTCCTGTTTTTGATTTCTTCTGAATTATCTTTTGTTTCAAAAGCTTGTCGGATCTGTGTGGATGTAAACAGTACCTTACCCACTGGTAATTTCCAGCTATCTGTTATAATAACAAGGATTTTAGGGAAAGGTCAGCTGTCTACCTATATCTGGAAACAACAAGCCGGAAATCTTTATTTCCTGTTCAGTATATCCAACGTGACTACATTTCATGACTCTGTTTTCCCTCTTAGTCAACAAATATGTAGTAGTGTGACAATCTTCAATGTATTATCGTAGTGGGGAAATGATAACCAACTAGGGAAGAGGGAAGGAGCAAAAGAGCTTTTTACAGAAATTGAGGGGGGGGGGGCTGAGAAGACAACAAGGGGTCAAAGTGGTAAAGATGTTGAGTCCATGTGTGTCCATTTATTAGTGCAACTATTTATTTAACCTGAAACATGCTAATATTTTTAATTTCTTCAGTAAAGTGGCAGGGAGTTACATTTCTCTCTATTAAAAATTTAACTAACAGAGGTAAAATATACACATGTATGCTATCCTTTTTGGGTTTGTCAGGGATTGGGAGTGATTTCTAATAATTTATTCCATTTCTTCCAAGAATTTTCCATTTTTAAAGCAGTATCCACTCCTTTGCCTATAGAAATATATTTTTGAATTCTGTAGTGATCTATAATAGCATTTTTTAAAGCATGAATAGATAGGGTTTGTTGCAAGCATCTTGATCTATAGATATACTGTTTCATTATTAGTAGTATAAGGTTATCAGTTGTATAGTAAGTACTTTTATAGTTATGCATGCCAAAAATGAAAGTTTCCTTATTAAAAGTAAATGGAATAAATAATGCGTCTAATAAAAATTCAAAGTTCTGAAAGAATGACTGTACTTTTTCACACTCCCATAGCATATGAACTATTGTTTCTATTTCTGTTTTACAAAAAAAGCAGTAAGGAGTTTCTACTAATCCTATCTTAAATATATGCGAATTGGTTG